AAAAGCATGAAGTTTGATTAAGAAGAAGCTCTAGTAGGGCAAGCAACTACTCGAAATGATTGATAGAGTACATTTTGCCAGGCAGTCCAAAACTAATGGTGTCTACAATGATCCTTCTCCCTTAAAGAATACTGATGTTTCGTTTCTCTAAATGATCCTTCTCTCTTGAATGATGACTCCTTTTCGTGGATTTATCCGTGTCCCTTTCAATGTCTTCTCGCTCCCTTTTTCTATCAAATTCCCTTCCCCTATCACGTTCACGAAACTTTAGTCTTTCCTTATCCCTCTGTCTTTCCCTGTTCCTATCTCTATCCTTGTTCTTTTTCTGCACCAGCATCTGTTATCTGATCAATTTTTGCATGCTCTTCTTTTGACTCCCCATCTTTAGACTCGTCATTACTCTTCTTTGAGTCCTTCAACTTATCAAGAGCAGCTTTTATTACTACCTCCTTAGCCACTTCTTGTCTTCTATTGGACGTAGCAATCGAGCCTCCTTCCTTGCATACAGGGATATATTGGGCTTTTGGAAGACTGTAAAGATGAGCGAGAACTCTGCAAACTTCATCTATGCCAACCTTTTCTACATCAAACACTTTCCACCGAGGATTCTCGGGGAGCGACACGTGACATCTACGGGCTGCAGCATATACTTGGCAGTGGATATTTTCACAACATGGGAAAATGTCTCAGTGAAATCAACACCCTCCACCTGTGTATCACCTCTAATCACAAGCCTAGCCTTATACATTTCTACACCACCATCAGCTTTATATTTCACCTTATAAACTCATTTGCAACCAATGGCTTTCTTGCCTTTAGGTAATTCTACAATATCCCAAGTGTGATTCGCATCTAGAGCCTCAAATTCCTTTCTCATTACATCTTGCCAAGCAAGAATGGAGGTTGCCTGAGAATATGTATTAGGTTCAAATTAAGCATGCTCAAGAATGGAATTAGAACAAGAATGGGAAGATGTTATTAAAAAGAACAAACATAGTCCTGAAGATAGGTGGGAAGATGATGGTCCCTGGAGGATCTTCTCAGAGGAGGAGAAGGAACAGAAGATGAAGGAGTGGAAGAGATAAGGGCAGGAGAAATAGAAGAAGAATGAGAGGTAGGAGAGGAAGAAGGAGTGACAGTAATAGAAGGAGGAGAGGTAGGAGAGGAATAAGGAGCAGCAGTAATAGAAGGGGGAGAGGAAGAGGAGGGAGATAAAGGATTAGCAGTATCAAAAAAGTAAGAGGAGGATGGAGAGGGGGAAAAATAAGAGGATTCGGGATAAGCAGTAGAAGGGGCAGAAACATGTATACAAGGAGATGGAATAGGAGTGGTTGTAGGATGGGATTGAGAGAAAGGACAATAGTGCTCATGAAATATGACATCCCTAGAAATGAGACATATCTTATTGGTTAAATTGTAGAGTTTGTAACCCTTCTTAGCAAATGGATATCCAAGAAAGATGCATGGGGCAACCTTGGTTTTAACTTGTCCCTATGAGGTATAGGAATTGTGACATAGCATAATCAACCAAAATATCTCAAATGAGAATAGGTGGGGGCACCTTACCATACAACATTTCAAAAGGGAATTTTTCATTGAGAACTTTAGAGGGTAACATATTAATGATATAAGTGGTAGTCAATAAACAATCACTACAAAATTGTAATGGTAAACTAGAGTGAAATAGCAATGCTCTAGAGGCCTCAAGAAGTGTTCTATGTTTTCTTTCAGCTACCCCATTTTGTTGAGAAGTATATAGGCAACTAGTTTAATGAATTATTCCATGCTCTGAGTAGAAGGTAGAGGCAGAAGGGCTTGAACCCAATTCTAAGGCACTGTTACTTCTAATGGTTTGAACTTTAGTATTGAATTGAGTCTGGACCATTGCAAGGAATGCTTTTATCAAAGGAAATGCATTGCTTTTAGCCCCCATTAGATGTGTCCAAGTAGCTCTTGTATAATCATCTACAATGGTAAGGAAGTATTTATCCCCAGAATATGTAGTTGTATGAAAAGGCCCACATGTATCAATGTGTATGAGTTGGAAAGGTTTGGTAGTAGTAATGGAGCTATCTGGAAAAGGCATCCTAGTTTGCCTTGACATAGGACAAACATTGCAAATAAAAGGTTGTTTGGATGATAGTTGAGATAAGCCAGAAATCAATTTCATTCTAACAAAAGGAACATGAGCAAGTCTTTGATGCCAAAGAACATCCATTTTATTCATTTCAATGGTATTACAACTAGGTATAACAATGCACATATTTGGTAAGCTAGGACAACTATAGTTACAAGTTGATGCAGAAACATGAGAAACATGGATGGAACTAGAAACAGGAGAATTACAAGTAAATGTAGAACTAGGAACAGCAAATGAAGAATTAGCATTATTCATGAATGGTAAATCTGTAAAGAGTTGAGATTGAGATGGTCTTTTCCAAACAAGCTTGTAAAGACCACTGTCTAATTTACCAAGATCTAGAGGCTTCTTCAGAGAAAGGCCCTGTGGTATAAGTAAACAAGATTCATAAGCAAACAGGACAAAGCATCTGAACTGTTAAATGATCCTATGCACAGAAATAGATTGTGCTGGAAAGAAGGAATATATAGAATATTGTGAAGAATGAGGGATGGATGCGAGGCAAAAGAACCAATTCTGGTCACTTTTACTTTGTATCCATTAGGTAAAGACACAAGAGAAGGAACAGGTAAAGGAGTAAGATTAGTAAGAAAATTTTTATTAGATGTCATGTGATCAGTAGCCTCATAATCAATTATCCAAGTTAGATTAATTGTTTGAGAAAGCATGCATGAACTAGAACTAGCAACATTCAACAGATCACCAGATAGTAATGTACCAGCAAAATTGGCAGAAGCAATGAGATTAGACTGAGGAGAAGTATCTGACACATGGGACTGTTGTAATAGAGCCAGCAATTGATTGTATTGATCCATGGACAACCCAGGAATCATGGAAGTATGTTCAGACATATCGGAAGAATCAGAATGAGAAGAACCATCAGCATTATGCCCAGCAGTAGTGAACTCAGGTTCAGCAGTGGCATTTGCTGTAATTCTTCTCCCCTTTGTGAACTTGAAATTGAGAAAAAACCCATGAACCTTGTAACACTTTTCAATTAAGTGCCCAGGCTTCTTACAGTATTTGCAAAACATGGGGACTTTGCCCTGATCAACATTTTTCCTTTGATCGAAATTTATCTTTTGATTATTCTATGGTTTTGGAGGAGGAGGAAACTTGGCATAATTGTTGATTGTTGCATTGAATGAGGCGGAGTCTGAATTGAATTAAGGAGTATAACTAATATGCCTCTGACTCTCATCTTGGAGCAATATATTGGTAGGCAATATCAAGAAAAGGAAGTAGTTGTCTCATAAAAAGATTGCTCCTAACACTGACATATATTTCATTAAGTCCCATTAAAAATTGATATAACTTGTCCTCCTCCAATTCCTTTTGCAAGGGACAATTACAAGGATTTACAGAATGCTGGCGCTTGAAGGCCAATTCATCCCACAGCCTCTTCAATTTATTAAAATAGGATGCAATATCCAAAGATCCCAGACAAGTGGAAGCTAATTCTTTCTTAATCTCAAATATTTTGGCCCCATTAACAGTACCATATCTGATTTCGAGTTGCTTCCAAATACACTCAGCAGACTCAGAGTATTGAACGCTCTCAGCAATCTCAGGAGAGAGAGAACTAGTGAACAAGGATATCACCATATTATTACATCTATTCTAAAATTTTAATTCTGGTGCATTATCAGATGGTTTGGGACAAGTGCTATCTATAAAAGCTATTTTATTCTTTGCCGACAAAGCAACTATGATTTTTCTCTTCCAACCCCCAAACCCGGTACCAGCAAATGGTATGGGCACTAAGGAAGTGCCATGAATATCATATGAATGTATAAACAGAGGACTTGAAGGGTCTGGAAAGTATGTAGAAGAGGAGCAGGTACTATCTCCCAGAGTCATATTGAAAACAACAGAATCACGCCAATTTTATGCGAAAATATACACATGCAAAACCCTAGGACAAGGGAAAATCAATTGTAACAGATAAATGAGTGATAACAGGTTCAGATTTACCACACTTCTTCGCTACTAAAAGAAGAACGGCCTTCAAAATGAGAGCAAACAACAAAAAAATCAACGAATCTGACGAAGCACAGATGAGATGAAGATGAGAGAAAATCCACAAAATTGTGTGAGGCTACCATCGGACGAAAGCTGTGCGCGAGATCTACGTGAATCCTCGCTCTGATACCATGGTAAATTTGAAAATCCACAAAATTGCCATGAAAACTCCGGTAGGGTTAAGGAGAATAGAGAGAAGAAAAAGATGGAAGCTACTCAATTAAATCTGTTATGTTCTGTCCAAAAGAATGAAAACTCTATTACAAAACATGTATAAAATGATATATATACTTTGGGCCTAAGTGCTACTGCCCATCCACTATTAACTATACAAAATAAAATTATACAAGTTGGGCTCCTTTGTGGCGAGGCCCAGATGCCAAATTTTCTCCCGGTCTAACAAGATTCCATGCCCTTTGTATCAATTCTGTTTCGGGTGTTAATTCAAGAGTTGCAAGGTAAATTGATAAAAATTTATGAGGATGCTCGACATGGCAGATGAAAGCCAATTCTATTAGAATATACCTTTCTGTCCTGATTAGCTCTGCTTTCAAATCATCATATTTTTTGGCAGATGTATCGAGATGCTCTAAGGGTAAGTTTTCTCTCCTACATTCAATTATGTGGAAAACATTAAGTACCTCACTTGCTTTCTTAGGAATTTCTTCGACAAGCACCCTCCACTTTCAACCAAGAGGTTGTGAGTTTGAGTCACCCCAAGAGCAAGGTGGGGAGTTCTTGGAGGGAGGGAGCCGAGGGTCTATCGGAAACAGCCTCTCTACCTCAGGGTAGGGGTAAGGTCTGCGTACACACTACCATCCCCAGACCCCACTAGTGGGATTATACTGGATTGTTGTTGTTGTTATTGTTTGATGCAATCCAAACACAACTAGCAGCATCCCTCTTCACATTAAAACATGCAAACAATTTCTTGCAGTAAAAATGATGAAATAGTACTTGTCCTGTTGACATTACAACTTGGAGTAATTTGAGTAAAATCCCACTTTCTTGGATGAGATCACAGCCGTAGATTCTAAGTGTGGTTTCTGTAACTTCGTCTATCCCATCTTTCATTGAAGGCGAGCTTTTAATCTGCTCGCCTGTTAGATAAAATGTGTCCATTATCGCCATGTAAATCATAGTAAAAGAATAATCCCTTGTACAAGCTCAAAAGTAATCCCCTATCCCTTATGTGGTTGATTGAAAGAATCAAAGAGGGAGGAAGATGGAGCAAAGCTAGTTTCTATATATGGTTTATTTCGGAGTATTAGTTAATGTAGATAGAAAAGGAAAATTAAGTCCACGAAGGGATAGGAGATAGAAAATAGGATTTCTGTTATTATGAAATTACTTGGGGAGAAAGTCATGAACTACTCTAGTTATTTTGGAACTAAGTTGGTTACTTGGTTACAAAGCTACTTACTTGGTCACCAAGCTATTTTTCGTCGTATAAGTAGGAGATTTCTTTACCCATTTGGAAGACATCAAATGTTGTAATAAAATTGTATATGGTCGAAATAGATTTTGGCCTTAGCACGTTCGATCTAGTTCGAACGATGATTTATCGAAGTAAGATCCCGAAGGTGGAACAAACTAACCTCGAACCTGGGGAGGCCAATCCGTGTCGAGTTCGATATCATTATCGAGCTCGAATCAAAATCGAACCATGATGCAGAGTAGATCTATCATGCTGATAATCCAGAGACCAACCAACATTGACCTCGAATCAATTCGAGGGCTCGAGCCAGGATCGGGCTCGAACCAAGATCACAAGTTCGAGCCGAAATCAAGCTCAAACCAAAATCGAGGGTTCTAAGCAAGATCGAGCTCGCAGACAAAAGCCGTTGCAATCCCACTAGAGAGAATCTTGGCAGAAATTATGGAAAAGCTGACTTATCATGGGTCTCCCACTGAATGTTTATTTTATTATGCTTAGAGCCAAATCCCTCCACTATAAAAGGACTTGGTTATTATTTCTGTAGGACAAATTTTTCTCAGGCTTACATTGTAATAAAAGTGCTATATTCTTCTACATTAAAGAATTGTTCCTTCAGATTTCTTAGATTGATTCTATTTGTTAAATCCTAAGATTCATTGTTCCTGACAACCTTATCTATTTCGCATTCTCTGCAATCTATATTTATATTTCTATATATCCTTACATTTTGTGTTAAGTTACGCCACATATCCTCGGAACTGCGTATAAATTCAACTCTATCTATTTTTTAAGTAAACAGTTTGGCGCCCACCGTGGGGCCGAGGATAACATTGGTTATTTGATACAAATTTGAAAAAACATGCCATTATGCTTTGCACTTATTTCCAAAAATATCTTGAATTTCGGATCAGCTACGAATAACCAACAATCAAATGGCTTCACCGATCGATTACGAAGCCGGCCTTCAAGATGAAACCAACAACTTGGCACCCGGGGCCGAAAGGACAATTAACGATGGCACCGAGGCTCGAATCGAAGTACCCGAAATTTGAGCCGAAATACCATTGGATGTCAATTCACAAATAGCTTTGGAGGCAAATCAGCGCTCCGAACCGGAAAGAAGCATTCAGGGCGGTACTCGATCCGTAGCCCGAGACACCCAAAACACGGGGAAAATTGGGGCCAGCTTACGTATGATCTTCGAGATACTACAAGCCCAACAAGTAGCGATAGCTCAGCTACAGAGCCAAACTCGCGCACAAAGCAGGCCGGATTCCAATCCACTTTAAGAAGTCACCCCTAGAACAGAGCCCGCCATAGTGAAATCTAACGAGCAAGAATGGGGGACTACTCCCGGAATTACTAAATTGCTCGAGAAACTCACAAAACGAGTCGAAGCCAATGACAAGAGGGTGGAAAAGTACAATGCCAGGGTCGATCAAATTCCGAGGGCTCCTCCAATGATAAAGGGGCTCGATTCAAAAAAATTCATACAAAAGCCTTTCCCGTCGAGTGCGGCACTGAAGCTAATCCCCAAATAATTGACCCGTTCATCAGAACAGGACAGTTACTAAAAACCAAAAGGAGATCAACAGAGAATAAAGGTCGAACAGAGACCGATATCGACCGTACGTCGCAGATCGGGTGAACAACGGTTCAGAACGCAATACAGTTCGAAATAATCGAAGGATTGATCGAGGACAAAATTCTCGGGGGCTTATGAGTAAGAGCGGCTTCGATAAATATGTCAATCCTATAGAAGCACCTCGATTATCAGAATATAACTTCAGCGTTGGTGCATCCGCTCTCGTGTCAGCCATCGGACGCATCAAAGACACTAAATGGCCCCGACCCATGTAGACCGATCCTGCCCGAAGAAATCCCAATCAAATGTGCGAATATCATGGTACCTATGGCCAGAGAACAGAAGATTGCAAGCAACTAAGAGAGGAAATAGCTCGCTTGTTCAACAAAGGGAACCTTCGGGAATTTCTGAGTGATAGGGCAAAGAACCATTTTAAAAGCAGGGATTTCAGCAAGCAAAACGAGCAAGAAGAACCGCAGCACGTCATCCACATGATCATCGGCGGCATCGATACCCCTCATGGACCAGTACTTAAACGCACTAAAACATCGATGGTGAGGGAAAAGCGATCTCGGGCTCAAGATTACGCACCCATGGGGACTTTGTCCTTTGATGATGAAGATGCAGAGGGGGTCATCCAACCTCATAACAACGCACTGGTAATATCCGTACTCATGAATAAAACTAAAATAAAGCGTGTGTTAATCGATCCAGGTAGCTCGGCCAACATCATCCGATTGAAGGTAGTAGAGCAGCTCGGCCTACAGGATCAGATCGTACCCGCAACTCTGGTTCTAAACGGGTTCAATATGGCATGTGAAACCACCAAAGGTGAGATAATCCTACCAATAAACGTGGCCGGAACCATCCAGGAAACAAAGTTTCACGTGATCGAAGGCTATATGAGATATAACGCCCTTTTTGAAAGGCCATGGATCCACAACATGAGAGCTGTGCCTTCGACCCTACACCAGGCCCTCAAATTTCCGACATCGGGAGGTGTCAAAATGGTGTACGGAGAATAGCCAGCCATAAAGGAAATGTTCGCCGTCGATGAAGCTAAACCAATGTCCTCACTTTCACCGACAAAAGTATCGGTCCCAGAAGGAGAATGGGACACCAAATAGCAATCACAGACATCGGCTTCGACCCAGCCAGACAACCAGAAAATCGAAGAGGATGATGATCAAAGGGTCCCTCGATCTTTTTGATTCCCGATGACTCCGACGCCACCAAATTAACAATCGAGGAGCTAGAGCAAGTCATATTAATCGAGCACTGGCCCGAGCGAAAGGTATACTTGGGAACAGGATTGAGCCCCGAACTCAGGAAGAAACTCGTTCAATTTCTTATCGATAACATTGATTGTTTTGCCTGGTCCCATTTAGATATAATAGGGATCCTGCCGGACATAACGATGCATCGGCTAAGTTTGGACCCCGGGTTCGGACCGGTTAAGCAAAAGAGAAGACCCTAGTCAAAGAGAAAGTACACATTCATAAAGGACGAGGTAACCAAGCTTCTCAAAGTAGGGTCCATTCGGGAGGTGAAATATCCTGAATGGCTAGCCAATATAGTTATAGTCCCTAAAAAAGGGAACAAACTTAGAATGTGTGTGGACAATAAGGATTTGAACAAAGCATGCCCCAAAGATTCCTTTCCACTGCCCAACATCGATCGCATGATCGACGCCACGGCCGACCACGAGATCCTCACTTTTCTCGATGCTTATTCCGGGTATAATCAAATCCAGATGAACCCGAAGGACCAGGAAAAGACTTCATTTGTCACCAAATATGGAACGTATTGTTATAATGTGATGCCTTTCGGGCTAAAAAATGCAGGGGCTACTTACCAACGCCTAGTAAATAAAATGTTCGAAGAACAAATAGGAAAATCAATGGAAGTTTATATTGATGACATGTTAGTTAAGTCCCTGCGCGCAGAGGACCATTTGACTCATTTGCAGGAAACGTTCGAGGTTTTAAGAAAATACAACATGAAGCTCAACCCCGAGAAATGTGCTTTCGGGGTCGGTTCGGGAAAGTTCCTCTACTTCATGGTGTCACATCGGGGAATAGAGATTAACCCCGATAAAATCAAGGCCATTTAAAACATCGTCGTTGTGGATAGCGTGAAGGCCATACAAAGGCTAACGGGTCGGATTGCAGCCTTAAGCTGGTTCATCTCAAGATCATCTGACCGAAGTCACAAATTTTTTTCTCTACTCAAAGAGAAGAACGATTTTGCTTGGACCCCAAAGTGCCAACAAGCATTAGAGGAACTAAAGCGATATCTATCAAGCCCACCACTACTTCACACTCCAAAAACAGACGAAAAACTTTGTTTGTACTTAGCAGTATCGGAAGTTGCCGTAAGCGGTGTCCTAGTTCGAGAAGAGCAAGCCATGATTGCAGGTCTCGAGCTAGCTAGAAACTTGGGAGCAGAAGTCATTGAAGCCAATTGCGACTTTTTGCTGGTGGTGAGTCAAGTAAACAAACCCTTCGAAGTCCGAGAAGGTAGAATGCAAAGGTATTTAGATAAACTGCTTGTCACTTTGCACCATTTCAAACAATGGACTTTACGGCATGTACCAAGGGAACAGAATAATGAGGCCGATGCGCTTGCGAATTTGGGGTCGTCAGTCGAGGTATATGATTCGGGCTCGGGGAATGTTGTTCAACTTTCGAGATCGGTAATCGAATAAGGTCACGCCGAAATAAATACTACAAGCTTAACCTGGGATTGGAGAAACAAGTATATTGAATACTTGAAAAGCGGAAAACTCCCATCGGATCCTAAAGATTCCAGAACCCTACGGACTAAAGCTGCTCGATTCACGTTGACTTTGGACGGAACTCTATACCGAAGAATGTTCGATGGACCGTTGGCAGTATGCTTGTATCCGGGAGATACCGATTACATCCTACGGGAAGTACACGAGGGTACTTGCGGGAATCACTCTGGAGCCGATACATTAGTTCAAAAAATAATCAGAGCAGGGTATTATTGGATCGATATGGGCAAATATACGAAGGAATTTATTCGTAAATGTGACAAATGTCAAACGTTTGCACCGATGATCCACCAATCCGGAGAGTAACTCCACTCAGTCCT